CCTGCCGCAGCCTGTCCCCTCCCTTCAGCTCTGATCACAGGGCTTCCCCCTCTCTCCACGGGGGAGGCCCCAAGTGTGTGCATGCAGACGACCTCGGGGACCCCTGCCATGGCCTAGGTCAACCCAGAAGACTCAGAGCCCCTCCTCCTCCCTCTCCCCATCCCAAGCTTAACCTAAATGTGAAGGGGCTACTCCCCAACTTCCCTGGCCCTGGCTCAGCACGGGTCCCTTTCCTGGCCTGACACCCAGAAATCACTTCCATAGGCAGTGGCTCCACTGCAAATCATCACAGCAGGAAGCAACCGCAGAGATTATGTGGGCTAACTGCCCGTCTTACTGGGGGACATGGAGGCTCCTGAGGTTGTGAGACCTGCTCCGGGCTCAGCGGCTCCTCCTCAGTAACGCAGCACCTGTGTGTAAGTCTCTGCTTCTGTCCCCGAATGACTTCTCAATCCCATGCCCTACCTCCAGGCCCCTCTGCCCACCCACCCAGTCCCTGTATCAGCCCATGACTCCTTCCCACTAAAATCCCCATGGCTCCCCGTGCCCCCAGGGTCAAGACTAATCAGCTTAGCCTCAAAGGCCCTGTGACCCATCCCCGGCCTTGCGCGCCTGTCCACCACCTCTCCCCTCTGAGGAAAGCCACACCCCACTATCCCACATGAGTCGGGCACCGCCAGGTCTTTGCTTCAGTCGTCCCTTCAGCAGAATGCCTTCTCCCCTGACCTTGCCTGGTAGAAATCCCCTTTTCACGAAAGGCCTTTGCAGAGTCCTTCCTCCCACTGAGCTACCATTACATGCCGGGCCACACTCCCACCTGGACTTCGGAGCGCCTTGGAAAGTGGGCGTGTCCTATGCATATGTCACTCCAGAGCCCCGTGCAGGGCCTGACACAGACCAGCTGCTCAACAGACAGGGCCCTGAACAAGAGCGGCTCCGGCGTGGGGGCTCACTCACCGCTGATGGCGGGATGGGACCCCGTCTCTCCCCTCCAGGAGGGAAGCTGGGGAGGTCAAAGGGTAAGACCAGGCACTTTTTCCCCACAGCCCCGGTTTGGTTTTCAAGGTTTTCCATCTTGGAGGGTAGTGGAAGGGGCAGAGGGAACGGGCCTGGGGGAGGGAGAGCCCGCTCATAAGCCGTTTTTCCATGGAGGAAGGAGGCCCTGAGCCTGACAGACCCCAGGGGCAGAGGGGAGGAGCACACACACACACACACACACACACATAGCCCGTGGAGAATGGGTTTCCTGTCTGCCTCCTCTCCTGCCCTAATTAGCAGCTGCCCCTCCCCACATTGTCGCCGACCAGCGCCCGGCCAAGGCCTCTTTTGTGCTCCCAGATTCCTGGGTGCAAGGTGGCCTCATTAGTGCCGGGAGACCGCCCCATCTCCAAGGAGCAGGCAGACAGAGAAGGGGGGGAACCAGGGGCGCAGTGATCCAACCCCAGCCTCTGAGTGTCCTGGCGGCCATTCCTTGGGCTCAGCCTGGAGACGGCCCCCCTGTCCGAGGCTAATCTTAGATTTGCCTTTGTCTAGCCCCAGAGTGGACGCAAGTGCCCCCCCACCTCAGAGCATTATAAACCCCAGGCCCCTGCTAGCCAGTCACAGTCGGCGGCCTTCCAGTTCCTAGCTGTTTGGACCCCTGGAGACGGCGCCTTTCCCTGCTGCTCCACTCTGAGCTCCGGACACCATGAGCCCTCCCTCCACAAAGGTAAAGACCCAGGGATGGAGGGGACGCACATTCCGGGGGCAGTGAGAGCGCTTGCTCGGGGGCTGGAAGGAAGGCTGAGTCCCCCCTCTTGTTCTTCTCCTGTGTGGGCTCTGAGGCAGGCAGGGCACTGGGTGGACGCTTGGCTGAGGACCTGCCTTGGTTAAGGCTCAGTAGCGCCCTGCTCTCCTAAGAGCTCACGTGTATTGCGCACGTACTATTCATCAGGTGCTGCTTGTACCTGTCATCGCGTTTCCTCCTCCCAGCATCCCTGCCCGGTGGGAAGTATTTAATACCCAGTTCACAGGTGAGGAGGCTGTGGCCCCTAAGAGGGGAGGAAACGGGGCCGAAGCCCAGTTCAGTGTCCCCTGCAAAGGAGCAGGCAAACAAGACGATTTGGACCCTGCTAGTCCTGGATTTGCACGGGTTTGCCGCTGTGGGTAGGGGGAGTGGGGCTAAATAGGGCCTGTTTTCGAGTGCAGGAACTTCTGGTGCAGACAGACTCTCACACACCTGTTTTCAGGCGGAGTGGTAAGCACTCTAATGGGGTAACGACGAATTAAGGATCCTCAGAGGAGACAGGGATCCATTCTGCCCAGGGGGTCTCCAATGACCCCCTTCTGAAGGGGCAGCGAGGAAGGGGCGCCAGCCAGGAGGGGGCGCGCGGCCATCTGGGCAGGGCCTGGGTGTAGGCGCTGGAGGCGGGCGCGGCGTTCAGACCCCCGGCGCCCGGTCTCCTCCTCCCTAGGTCCCCTGGACCGCCGTGACGCTGCTGCTGCTGCTGCTGCTGCCGCCCGCGCTGCTGTCGCCCGGCGCGGCCGCGCAGCCCCTGCCCGACTGCTGCCGCCAGAAGACGTGCTCCTGCCGCCTCTACGAGCTGCTGCACGGCGCGGGCAACCACGCGGCCGGCATCCTCACGCTGGGAAAGCGGCGGCCCGGCCCAGGCCTGCAGGGCCGACTGCAGCGCCTCCTGCAGGCCAACGGCAACCACGCGGCCGGCATCCTGACCATGGGCCGCCGCGCAGGCGCAGAGCCAGCGCCACGCCCTTGCGCGGGGCGTCGTTGTCCCGCTGCGGCCGCCGCCTCTGTCGCTCCCGGGGCACGGTCCGGGGTCTGAGCCCGTGCTCAGACTACGTCTTGGCACTGCCCTCTCCCCTCTGCCCGCCCGCTATCAGCCCCCAGAAAAATGTGCAATAAAGAGGCGTCTCCGATAACGTGGCCGGTCTCGGTTCCTGTGTGGTAGAGTCCTGCCCTCCAGGGGGCGTCAGAGTCTTGCGAACTGGAAAGAGCCCGAGGGCCTGGAAGCCCGGGTTCCGGGCCACCTCCGCTTGGGCGGGCGTCCTTGGACCTGAACACTTGTGGGTGGGGAGCTCCCCAGAACAAGGCGCGGTGCAAGGCCGTGGGTGCGGAAAGAGTCGCAGATGTGCGTTCTTGGAGGGGAGGGTGCAAGGAACATGCGGTTCCACGTAAATCATCCAGAGGGGCTGCAGCGCGGGGTGGAGGGTGTGGGGAGAGGTGAGGAACCGGAGGGGAGGCGGTTAGGTCATGCAGCCCAGATTTGTGAAGCCCTCACGAGTCCCTTTTTTCTGTAGGTAGCTGGGAGTCGCGAGTTTTGATGGGGGGGGGGGGGTAAGATTTTCCTGCCACTTTATTGGAACACACCTGTTATAGATTGAATTGTCCCCCCTCCCCAAATTCATATGTTGAAGTTATAACCCTCAGCACTTCAGAATGAGATCTTATTTGGAGGGTCGTTGCAGATATTAGTTAAGATGAGGTTCTGTTGGAGTGGGATGGGTCTCCACTCCAATATGACTAGGGTCCTTCTAAAAGGGGGGGGGGGTGGACACAGAAATGCACACAGAAAGAGCCCATGTGAACATGAAGGCAGAGGTGGGTGGTGCATCTACAAGCCAAAGATTGCCAGCAACTCATCAGAAGCTCACAGCTTTCAAAAGGAACCAATCCTGCCATCATCTTGAGCTTGGACTTCTAGCCTCCAAAATTGTGAGAAAATAAATTTCTGTTGTTTAAGTACCCCGTTTGTGGTACCTTGTGACAGGAGTCCTAGGGAACTAATATAACACCCAGAAGTAGAGACACAAAAAGAAGTGGCGCTTTTAAGCAATCTGATACTGGGTTCAGGCTCTGGGAGGAAGGGGCTGGGGATGCAACTGGCTTGCCCTCTCCGGAGACCATCTTTCCATCTGCACTGGCTTTCGCTGGGAAGCAGTCACCCTAAGCCTCAGTCATTTTCTGCTTCTGGGGTGAAAAAGTCCGGCGTCTGGTCTCCCCTGGGTCCTTCTTGCTGCTGTACTGGTTAAGTCTTGGAAAAGATGGAGTTCAAAGCCCCCCAGCTCACCTTTGGAGATTTGCAAATCGACTCTGTCCACCTTGAAGCTATCTTTCTCTGCCCCATACTGGCTTCCAGCCTCTCCTGCGCTTGAGTGGCAGCAGAGAGGAGGGTTAAGTCAGGACGATGGGAAAAGGGAGACTAGGGAGAAAAGTGCTCTCCAACACACTTATTTTGTGCCAACGTATGCATTATGCCATTGCCTTCTCACAACCGCAGGAGGTAAAAATGATTAGCTCCATTTTACAGATCAGGAAAGTGAGGCTCAGAGAGGCCACGTCACACATTCAGTAAATGGCAGGGCCAGGACTCTACCCGCTGGACCCCAACGCTCTTTTCATCCATCCTGCCGGGCTGAGAGGCAGAATTTGCCAGCGTGCCCTGCGCGCACGGAGGCACACAGAGCCTCTTTAACCCCTGCTGTCTCATGGTGGAGCGCAGGGACCTGCGAGTGCTGCAAAGCAGCCGGGCTCCAGCAGGCAGCACTGCGAACCAGATACCCTTTCCCGCTGGGGCGGCGCCTGGGGAAACCCGTGGGGCGGAGCCGCCGGGCGCGCCAGGGAACCACGCCGCGGGGGCGTGGCCACCGGGAGGAGGCGTGTCTGACAC